GGGAAAGAGATTGAGATGTTTGAAGAGTTTAGGTTTTTCACTTCAGAAGTGATTTCTAGAACAGCATTTGGCAGCAGCTATATAGAAGGACAACACATTTTTGAGATGTTGATGAAATTAGGCTTCCTGTTAAGCAAAAATGCTCTCACAATAAGGGTTCCTGGCATCAGGTAAACTTCCTTACAACTAAATCTGAATGTGGGGAACCAAATGGGGATAGCCATATAATCTCTTTTTTTTTATATTTGTATTGATTCGCTGATTTATTGATCAACGAGGCTTGTTATGCAGAGAACCAACCTTCTCTATTATCTTTTTATTGTTCTTTCATTCAATGTTGCAGTAAGCTTTTCAAAACTGGCGATGAGATCGAATCAGAGAAACTTGAAAAAGATGTACGTGCCTCCATATTAGAGATTGTCAGGAAAAGAGAAGAGAAGGTGATGACTGGAGGAGAAGATAGCTTTGGGAGTGATTTTCTTGGATTACTTGTGAAGGCTCATCATGATGCCAATGACAGCCAGAGGATTTCAGTGGATGATTTAATTGATGATTGCAAGACGTTTTACGTCGCTGGACAAGAATCTACTAATTCTTTGCTTGCTTGGACTGTCCTTCTTTTGGCACACCACACGGATTGGCAAGAGGAAGCAAGAAAAGAGGTCATACAAATGTTTGGCAAACAAACCCCAAACCCTGATGGCATTGCCAAACTGAAAACGGTAAGAAAGTCAAGAACTCAATCATTAGCTTGTTCTAAGTGGCAGAAACATGTACTCAATTAAGATTCAAAACCTGATTTGTTTTTGTTTTTTTTGTTTCATTTGGATGCAGATGAGTATGGTGATCAATGAGTGTCTAAGGTTATATTCCCCTGTTGGTACTCTGTTAAGGAAAGCTGAAAGGGAAGTTAAACTAGGAAAGCTGATTGTTCCTGCTAATGTTGATTTGGTAATGTCATGCCTATCACTTCACCATGATCCTCTAATCTGGGGACAAGACGCGCAACTTTTCAAACCAGAGCGATTCGCAGAAGGGGTTGCTAAAGCGAGTAACAATAACGCAGGTGCTTTCCTACCCTTCGGAGTAGGACCTCGAGCTTGTGTGGGATTGAACTTTGCGACCATTGAAGCAAAGATTGCGCTGTCGATGGTTCTACAACGCTACTTCTTCACCCTCTCCCCGGGCTATGTCCACTTGCCCTTTCAGCTAGTAACAAATCGCCCACTCCGTGGAGTTCAAGTAATGCTACATTCACTTTGATAAGTATCCAGAACACAGACATCAATAATAATGCATCTGGTCATGAGGTGTATTGATACACTCGCTGTATTATTAGTCAATTATCTTTTCAACTTTTCCTAGCTATTGTTGCCTCATGTTTGGCAGTATTGTTGGATAATACAATAGGTCATTTCTTTTTGTTTGGTTTGGGAGAAAGAATCTTAAATCTTAAAGCATCCATCCAGAAAAAGGTAATATGTTAGAATATGCCAATATCATAGCCGTCTGATGGACCAATATAATATAATTATAATATAATATGAAATTTAACTGCTGCAATAGAAATACTGAAGAAACTGATCACGGGACATTTTCAGTTTGAGTGCATCATCCATAACAAATTAAGAAATGACAGAAACCTTAAACACAATATGTAATCGCAATTAATTCGAAACCGAAGATAATTCAGGTAACGTAATTTCATTAACATAAAATAGGGACAACAATTGATAAAGGAAGATTAACAGAAAGCAAAAATATAGACTACTACTTTTTATTCATAAACATAATTATTATAATCTAATTAAGTCCAGCATTTTCCAACACAAGAGAAAGATCATGTGATAATAGAATAGAATGCCGTTTTTAGAGAGAGTGTCAAATTGTTAAGCATACGTTTTGTCGTTAGAACTGGATATAATTTTAAACGTGAAGCCTAACATGAAGCCCAATTGGCAATACAGGGATCGCCTTTAGGTCCATGTGTGTGACCATTGTGAATTTGTGATGTGAAATTTAAAAAATGAAGAAAAAATACATGTCATTGTCTAGGAATTCAAATCCTCTTTTGCTTCTCTGTCTATACAGTTCAGTCTCCCATTTGGCAAAGTCTAAATCGAACTCTATCTCTATGCCTGTGCGTCAGCGCCATTATTGATGCTTGAGGAAGCTTGAGGTTTCACTCTATGTGTGGCGAACTTTCATGTAAATAACATAAATTAGGTTATTTATTTGATACTCGAGGAAGCTTAAGGTTCCACTTCACGTATGACAAACTTTTAAACTTAACACGTAGACAACACAAATTAAATGACGTGAGAGCACATTTGGCCGTTCGGCCCAACATTTTCATAGGGGTCATCTTTATTTGTATCATGTGATGCCTAGGTCATAATATGTTTCACAAACGAGCCGCTATTTCTGGTCTTCGGAAATTCACAAAAGCCACTTATTACAATCTTTTTTTTTTATCATGTGCTGCCTGGGTAATAATATTTTCCACAACCGAGCCGCTATTTCTGGTCTTCGGAAATTCACAAAAGCCACTTATTACAATCTTATCCATCCAAGACAGCTAATCACAGAAAGTGGTGGACATAATTTGCCATGCCTGCCAGTGCCAGCTGCTAGTAAGAAACAGATGATTATGAACTGTCTCTCTCTCTCTCTCTCTCTCTCTCTCTATATATATATATATATATAGAAAGTTGTAAAGATGAGAGGTTGTTCACTAGAACTTTCCACAGCAGAATTTTCATAGGGAAGCTATAGTCTCTCTGTTAAGTTGAGAAAAGTCATGAAAGAAAACGAAGTGTGGTGATAAAGATAAAGTTTTGCAAGATTAGTAATAAGGTAATGTCATTGGTGACGAAGCCGGGAGATAATTCCAACATGAATTCACTAACCATGATGTATCAAAAGTCGACAAATGGCAGCTTAAGGTTTCAAGGAGAGTCACTTTACCATGATATTCATATTTGCCATCTGGATTTTAGTAAATAGCAGGACAGCTAAGTAACAATCAAAAGCAGCTAAGTAACAATCAAAAGCTAACACAACCATGATTTAAAACTGGTTTTTTCTTTACTTTTGCTTAACACTCAGGAGCAAGAAAAGCTTTAAAAACTCAGTAGAAAAAGAGAAAGAGAAAGAGAAAGAGAAAGAGATAGAGATAGAGATAAGATAAGCAAAGAAAAAACAATACCAAAAAAATGACTAGTTTGGGAGGCCTAATAGTCATTCTTTCTAGCTTTCTGTGTCTGCTCCTTGTCTTAGCTTTCATCAAGATCCTCCACAAACTATGGTGGACTCCGATTCGCATACAGAAGCTGATGGCTTTGCAGGGGATCAAAGGCCCTTCTTACAGATTCATCCATGGAAACACCAAAGAAATCTCCAACATGAAAAAGGAAGTCATGGGCAGGCCCCAACTTTTATCACACGACATACTTTCTGTAGTTCAACCTCACATTCACTCGTGGACCAAGATTTATGGTAACAAACAAAAACAAGCCATCTCAATTAGTTAACTATTGTTATTTAAATCTTAGTTCTAAACAAGATAAGTTTTGGTAATTTTTGCATGCAATTACAGGGAAGAATTATCTTCAATGGCATGGTTGTCGGGCTCAGTTGGTCATTACAGAACCTGAGTTGTGCAAAGAGATACTGAATAACAAAGACAGAGCTTATCAGAAAAGAGAGCCCACAAACATTGCAAAGAAGCTATTGGGAGATGGCCTTGTGGTGACAACCGAAGCTGAAAAATGGGCAAAACTGCGAAAGCTGGCCACCCATGCCTTCCATGGAGAGAGTTTAAAAGTAAGTTTTTTAAAGTTACTGATACTTTGTTGCAAAGAGTATTATAGTAATAGCTGTGTCAACTATTTAAACATAAATTGAAGGGAAAAGTCTGCTAATAGCATGTTGGTATTATTGTTTGCTAGAGTATGATTCCAGAAATGGTAGCTAGTGCCGAATCGATGCTAGAAAGGTGGACAGTTTATGAAGGAAAAGAGATTGAGGTGTATGAAGAGTTTAGATTGTTCACATCGGAAGTGATTTCCAGAACAGCATTTGGCAGCAGCTATGTAGAGGGACAAGACATTTTTGAGATATTGATGAAGTTAGGCTTCCTAATATTTAAAAATTTTCTCAAAGTCAGGGTTCCTGGAATCAGGTAAATTTTAATACTCCAATTGAAGAGAAGAAAATTATTTTGGAGAGTTACTTATGTTCTCATTTTTAGTCTTTCATTCAATGTTGCAGCAAGTTTTTCAAAACCAGCGATGAGATTGAATCAGAAAAACTTGAGAAAGGAATTCATGCCTCCATAATAGAGATGGTTAAGAAAAGAGAAAAGAAGACAATGGCTGGAGAAAAGGACAGCTTTGGGAGTGATTTTCTTGGATTACTTTTGAAGGCTAATCATGAA